ATTGAATTGTGATTTTTTTTAGTACTAATTGCATTATTTTATTTTATTATTTTTTTGGAGTTCATTTTTATCGTACTTTACCCCCTTTTTTTTCTTTGTTTTTGTTTACTTGCAGAATACTGGGCGCCCTCATACTCTGCTGGATAGAATAGTTAGCCCCCATACTCGCGGGATTGACTAATCTTTGGCGCTTTTGATCGAGCTTGACGCAACTTTTCGAGATGACAGCCTATTATCATGATTTTTATTCCCACCAGGCACCTTACCAGTATGAGAGGGAGATACGTGGCCCGTGGATTGTAGAACGAGGCGTAAGAGGACCTAGTGGTTGGCAAAGGAACGAGCAAGACTACTTTTATACCGATGAGTATAGATACCGTTTGAGAGAGCACTCCAACTCTTTCTATGGGTACTCCGAGCCACCAATTGCACGAGATCCCAACCCGTCTGCGGAAGATATGGTAGAAGAATTCAGGATAAACACGTTAAAATTTCGGCAAGAGTTCTGCGAGCCCATTGTTGAGGGAGATCCTGGTCTATCGCTCGAGGAGATGATGATGGAGTTGACGGCTCACACTCTTAATTTTCAGCAAAGTGTTGAGACGAGCCTCGAAAGCCAAGGGATGCGCATAAGGAATTTGCAAGGCCAAATGAGCCAATTGACGGAACAAATGGACCGACTAGTGTGTCGGATCGAAACGATTCCAATGAGTTCAAGCGTCACCCATTCGAGCAGCGAGGACCCTGAAGAGCCTGAAGAGTGCACATACGAGCCGGAGAACCAAAAAATCACTAATATAGAGAAAGCAGAGTCGAAGCAGCAGAGTACTGGGGTACCCCGTACTCGACTTGCTGGACCCAGTACTCGACCTGCTGAAGCCGAAAAGAGAACCGTTCTTCCCGCTCTTGTGCCGATAGAAGCTGAACCTTGTCTTGTCTCTTCCAATATGAAATGGGTGTTGAGTAAAGATGCACTAAAGCATGTCTTGAGCCTTAATATCCACCCTCTTGTGACGATCGAGCCAAACGAAAGGTGTGAGTGGAAGTTTAATGAGACAATGGTTGTGATTGAGCACGGGCTGCTACTTATTTTTGAGGGACCAGCTCCATGGAGGAAAGATCCGGTGAAGCATCCAACATCGGAGAGTGGGGATTGCGTCATGCATGACATGGTGAGGTTTGTGGCTCCCTTGAGGCCACCTTGGAAGCCACCATGGACCTTTTGATAAAAATGGAGCAATAAGTCGGGCCAACGACAATAAAAAGAGGCGCTTGTTGGGAGGCAACCCAATGGTGTGCGTGGTTCGGTCGACTTCTTCGCATTGACTAAGGTGAACTCGTTTCTTTTACCTCTGTTTTTGTTCTTTTATGATATTTGAGCGTCAATGATATATGTAAACTCTAAGTTTGGGGAGGTTCTTCTTGGTGAGCATTCATGTTTTATTATGTGATTATATTTATGCCCCTTAGAGTTTGAATTCTTAGATAGTTGCATGTTATTTGCTTATGTTTGAGTATGAGATTGCATACGTGGAATTTTGCGATGATGATATGAGAGCTAGTTTGGATTTATCTTGCTAGTTTAAATGGCTTGAGTTGATTTTATTTGGTTAAATTCTTGAGGTGTTTTATTTTGAGGACAAAGGCATGATGATTGATATTTTTGTGACTTATTGTGGTGAGTTGGTTTTGAGACGATTTGTATTGTTGA